ACATACTGCATGGAGCTCTGGGTGTTATACGCAAACAATGAATCATGGAACACTACATCAAAAACTAATGATGTAATGTATGGTGATTAACATAATAAAATAAAATTTTAAAAAAAGGAACATTTAACAAATCACATGAAGAGAAAGTATTGTTTTCATGGACAAAAACAAGCCAAAACTCTAACTATGTCAGGCAAAGTTTATGTTTTATTATTACTTTGTAGTCTGGATAGTCAGATTTCCACTTAGGGATGTGTTTACATTAAAGAAATCCTTGAAAACTCAGATCTCTTTTTAAAAGTCTATAAACAGAGGAATTCTGCACGTTCAGTATAGGAAATTTCAGGGATTGCGGTGCAAGTACCAAAGAGTTTTTGAAAGTGACCCTGGAGACTTTCCCTGAGTGGAATGAATAACAAGTGGTGTGGACAGGGTGTGTGGAAAAATCTGACAATGGGCTTCATGTCATCCCAAGACAAATTAGTGCATAATATACTTAACTTTAAAATATGTTTTGGGGGGGCACCTGGGTGGCTCAGTCGGTTAAGCATCTGCCTTCGGCTCAGGTCATGATCCCGGAGTCCTGGGATTGAGCCCCAGGTCAGGCACCCAGCTCAGCGGGGATCCTGCTTCTCCCTCTGCCTCTGACCCTCCCCCTGCTTGTGCTCTCTCTCTCTCTCTCAAATGAATAAATAAAAAAGCTTAAAAAAATAAAATATGTTTTGGATGATGCTTTAAACATCCATGCCTTCGTGTGTGTGTTTACCTGGGATAAAGGTAGATGTCTGTAAGGGAGAAATCCTAATGGGGAAGGCAGTTTTAGGATACAATTCTCTGGCCGTTAATTATCATCAAATTGTGATTGACAAAATGGGTCAAAAATAATTATTTGTTTCATGAAACCAAATGAATGAAATTAATGGTGAAGTAGGAAGAAAAGAAAAAGAGGATATCAGGTAGAGATCTTGAACATACTTTGAATCTTGGTTGCAGATAATGGAGAAGGCAAATTTCCTAAGTTACCGCTTCGATCATGCCCTCTTCTCCCCAGATCTCAGCAGTACCCATTGTGAGATTTAAGCCCAGTTGTAGTCTTTCCAGGCTAATGACCCTGGCTGCTCCCCGATGACCTAGGATTCTCTCTGGATCCTCGAACAAGCATGGAAATTCCCACTCTCTTGTGTTTTTCCATCTCATAAAGCCCTCATCAGAGACTGCTCTTCTTCCTCCTCTATCAGAGCCCAACTCATTCTCCAAAGCCAGCTCAACTTCCAGCTCATCTGCTTCCTTCGACTGCCTCCATCCAAGGAGTTCTCTCTCCTCTGGCCTCCCCCGCATGCACTGATTCACCATCAGCTCAGTGAGAACTGATCACTTCCATCCCCTCCTATGGCCACTGTTCCATATCGAATGCCGGGTTTCCAAGGACTTGATTGCAAGCTCCAAGTGCCTAAGGATTCTCACAAACATGTTTGAAATCTCATCCACTCACTTGTCCAAAACAGGGCTTCAGCACAGTGGACATTCTCAGAAAATGTTACTGTGGATGCAGAAGAGAATGGTTTTGAGCATACATGAGGCACAAAAAAAGTGATGGGCAGGAATGACGTCAGTTGCAGGTTTATAATCTGACTGGGTGCAGGGCTAATGAGAACGGTTTGAAGATAAAAGAGCTGCCCAGACTCTAGGTCCATGATGTAGCTGTTGATCAGAGGCCTGGACTATCCAGTACAGAAGGATCTCTCAGGATCACCGTGCAACTTGGATCCAAGTTGAGAGCTGGCTTCCATGTGGTCACTCAGCATGGCGGCTCATGCATCAGGATAAGAGATCCAGGTGGGATTTGGGGGGGTCCAGCTTCACTTCCCAGTCCCCGTCAAGGGAATAAAATAGCATCTGAGGTGCCAACTTGTTTGGACAATGTCATCCTTTTTCTTTTCCTTCTTAAAGCAGGGATTCTGGAGAGTTTGTTCACTTGTTTGGCCAGCTCATGGGTGATGTGATTTTAGAATAAAGATCATTTATGACAGATCCAGATTTATAGCAAATCTCACCTGGCAAACAGTCCTCTTAATACATATTAAAGGAAGACTCTGGAGAGTAAGTGAATGGAAAAAATTAAAAAAAAAAAGAAAAAAGAAAGTCAGTCCAAGGCTCACTGTATATTGCAGAATTCAACCATCTGAGCGCCTTTCTGCTCCAGAAGATGCTGTTATTTACAGACCGCTCTGAATTACACGTGTCCTGTTTCTACCTTCTCTCAAGCCCCTTTGAGTGTGCTGCAGTTCTGGGAGAAGCCCTTCTCTATTCACTGTTGTGCTTTTCATGTAGGGATTAATTATTTTCCTGTGTTGAATACTACTCTTCCTTTCATTTACCTGTGGATCCAGTAATGAGCCTGGGTTCTTTCCATTTGTCTCATTTATCTGCTCTCTCCCCTTTCTAGCCTTAGGCGCTTTTCTCCTCCTGTAGTCTCCCTAAACAGCCTTCTTTCATCCTTCCGGGTGTCCTTCCTCCAGCCTCTGGTCCCTGCTCCAACACCCACTTCCTTTAAGAAACTGTCTCTTTTGATCTCCATGACAACAGCAGTACAGTGTCAGTGTATCTGTGGTTTGCAAGTGTCTGTATTTTATGTGTCCGTCCAAATGAGCCTTGAAGCTGCCTGTGGCAGATACAGAGGTCTTTAAAAAGTCAGTAAGAACAGGGATGTGCAAATGCTCACAGCACCATCAAGGATGTGAGTGATTAGAGCAGGCCTCTCTTCTTTAGAAAGCCACCAGCCAGGTCCTGTTTCTGCACACTTCCCTCCCCCTTCCCAGCGCAGGTGAACGGACTCT